TCTCGACAGCATGGAGACTCTCTCTTTCTGAACAGTGGCCAAAGTCTTCTCACCCGTGTCCGGCTCCTCATTACAGCCGGGCCAAGAGACTCAGGACTCATTTAACTCCCAAAAAGCCGAGTCATTCATCCCGTGGACCCTATCTCTCGCGAGACATCGAGGTGATTGAACTTCTGCCAGCCGTGTTAATTACCGAGGCTCGAGCTGTTTGCAAGGCGAGGTTCAAGTGCTCGGACACAGCCGGGCACACACAGCTCCAGAAAGTAGTCCCCGTGGAGCTCAGAGTGAGAGAGAAGGAAGTGTGTGAGTCTGAGGAGGCAGACCGACAGGACACTCTGTACGAAGACTGGATCATTACAGGAAATACTCCTCTTCTTCCTTTTGTATACCTGCTGCAGCCTCTCTGTGTTCAGGTGATTTCTGTCTCTGTTTACTGAAAAATCTCCCTGGTCTCCGGCTTGAGCTTCAATCTCCGGATCCATGTATTCCTGATCCTCTCCAGAATGGAAGTAGTCATCACATACAGAGCATCAACTAGTTCCTGAACAGCGTCCTTCACATGCTGATATCCAAGAGAGGGAGTTCCACAGTCACTAGATGGAGGAATAGAAAGCAGTATTCAATGTTTACTTCAGATTAGCTCCACGTCAGAAATGAGCATGCTTGTCATATGTCTCTCTCCATAGAGGCTGAATCATCATGTTAATCACATAGCTATCATATGCCTCAAACAGTCCTGATGCTCTTCTATGTAATCACAGCCTTTTTTCTTTACATTTAAAGCTTTTATTGGTTTTTAATGAACTGATTTGTTGGATTAAATAAGTTAATATGTTTGAGACGAGACTGAGAGCAGACAGTTTTGGTCCGCAGTGAAAATGTTGATGTTTAAAAGGTTAAATGGGTCATAAAGAGTCTCACATGTGATGCAGGTAGTAATTGAGAGTCTGATAATGTTTTTTAACTTTAATATTAGGCTGCGTGCTTCTTCACTACTTTTTAGTTTTCCCCCTGAAAACCAAAAATATTTCTGGCTTTACAAAGATAGTTTTTCTTGGTACATCTCTAAATTGTCCTTTTGATCAGTAGAACGTCCCTGAAGAAACGGCAGAAGTGAATAATAAATGTTTGTTTGTTCGTTAGGCTGCTGGTTCTGGATGAGATGGATCAGCTGGACAGTAAGTCTCAGGACGTTCTCTACACCATCTTCGAGTGGCCGTACCTCAGCCAGTCCCGCCTCTGCCTCGTCGGTAAGAAATCCTCCCGTCGTCGTTACATAAAAGCTCTGCTCGTGAGATAACGTGAAATCAGGACCATGAAAACATTTGAACACAGACAGGAGAGAGAGAAATAAGATGTCAAAATAGAGTTCATTTTGAGCGTTAATCCATATTTTTTTACCTTTTTTAATTATACTATTATTGCTTTACTCTCCAGGGAATAGCTTGGAGAGTAGGCTGTTAAAGAAAGTCTAAAACTGTTTTTGTTAAAGTCTATAACGGGTTGTGTTTTTGTGTCAGCTCCATGAGGTGTTCAGCCGGCTGAATTTATTTTGTATTTTCTTTCTTCTAAACCTTTAATAAATAGTTTCTTTCTCTCCAGGACTAGTGTGTGCAGGTTCTCAGTGAACCATGTTTTTTAATGAAACTGTCTCTCCTCTCCAGGTATAGCGAACGCTCTGGACCTGACGGACCGGATCCTCCCTCGTCTTCAGGCTCGGCCTCAGTGTCGCCCCCTGCTGCTCCACTTCCCCCCCTACAGCCGGCAGGAGCTCAGCGACATCGTGCAGGACCGACTCTCTCAGGTACACACAGATTAAACATGTGTTAGGGCAATGATGGTATTAAAGCTTAATGCAGAGAGGGCAAAAGATCACACATCCTTTCCTCAAGTAGAAGTACAGATACTCGTGTTTACAAATACTCTGGTGAAAGTAGAAGTACTGACTAAACTTCTTTACTCAAGTCAAAGTAAAGAGGCTTTGAAATGTACTTCAGTAAAAAGTACCCATAACTAGGAGCTTTTTTAAAGAGTACCTGACCTCCCTTTATATTAATAGAACAATAATGTCATTGTTAGCTAATGAATGTTTCCATGGTGACCAACAGCAACATGACAACGTTTTCATTGGTCCCTCTTCTTTAGAGAAGACCAGGAAACGATGGATACACGGATCGTGTTCAAATCAATAGGCACGCAATGACTCTAAATAATAATTTTTTTCCCGCTCCTTCTCTCAGGCGTCGGCGGACGGGATCATGGACGCCTCGGCCGTTCAGTTTTGTGCCAGAAAAGTGTCGGCGGTGTCTGGAGACGCCAGGAAAGCTCTGGACATCTGCAGGTAAAATCACGATATCACATTATCATCGCTCACAAACATTTCAGGATAAAGGTGTCCTCGTGTAGCATGCTTTCTGCTCAGTTGATGGATAGTCTACAGGAAAACACTTCCACTCTACAATCTATATCAGGGGTTCCCAAAGTGGGAGTCGCGAGATGATTACAAAATAAAAATGGGGGAAAAAATAAATAAAAAATTGATTAATTTTTTTTATTATTTTTTTTATTTTTTTATTATTATTAATAATAACGTTGGCAGATACATTTTTTTCTTTGACAATCCACGAGCGCAGTGTTTCTCAAACTTTTTCTTTTTTTTCCTGAAATTAATTCACTAGCATGTTGGGAATCTGAAAGTGCTTTCCTGCCCTCAACAGATGCAAAGTCAATCAACAGTTGCTTTATTTGTATTTCCAGGAGAGCTGTTGAGGTGGTGGAGTCTGATGAGAGGAAGAAATCATCGGATCAGAAAGATGAAGCTAAAGGTGAGCACTCACTTCTCCTCCGTCACTGAAGCTTCATCTAACCCAGGGGTCTGTAACCTTTTTGACCAAAAGAGACATTTTGCCCCCTTTTCCAACAATTTGTTTTGTCTGGACCCGCAAAACATATTTGAGAACTTATAAAGTTGTATTTATTGTTATATCATAGACAAAAACTACAGATTTTTGGATTTATTATTTATATTATAAAACTGTTAACCTCTAATAAGAAACAAAGAACTCTTATAAGGAGAATACAAAAAAATACACAGGCCTACTTTAAAATAAATTAAACACAGCACTTGGGGAGTCCTCTGCACATTTGAAGAAAAAAAATACAATTAAAATGGGCCCACTTTGAAATAAATAAAACATACAGCTGCATCCCTAAAAAGAGTTAAAGGTAGGGTAGGTAAGAATGGAGAAACCAGCTCGAGTGCGCTAGAATTTGAAAATACACAACCGGAAAAAATGTGCCTCTTCCTTCAGACTTTCTTACAGAGTCCCTCCTCCAACACACACGAACGCGCATCATCAATGAGGCCACGAGATA